GTGGTTCACCACAAACAACTAGTATTTTTAAGGGATTATCCGCCACCTCCCTATTCTCCTTGAATATTCTTTCAATGTTTTGTTTGTTAATTACTAGTTGATCTTGATCATTAACCGAAAATAGTTGGATCGACATTTTAGATGCTAAATGTTTGAGTAAATTTTAAGAATTATTTTCAGTAATTTGCTAAAAACAAAATAATAGTGTATTAAATAAAATATTTCCTGATACTGCATTATGAGTCATAATTGATTACACATACAAAAAATATGTTCATATCATTTATTATTAATGATAAACAACAGAACATTTAAACAAATGTGGACAAATTATTTTTACTGTATATCAAAAATATTTGTATTCATACTCTATTATTAAATATTACTTACTATGTTGCTGTGATCAAAAATACAGTATATTGAACAAGTTCACAATTATTTTCAACAATTTGTTTATTTATTATTAGCCACAATTAAACTCCAAGTAATTCATATGAATTAAAAATATTTTAATTCTACAGTAATCTATTTATATTTGTACACACTTTTGTAAAGCACTTATTTTATAACATATTACTGTATTACTACCATTGTTAAGGTACAGGTAAAGCAAACATTGTAATCAAACAAATAAGGTGATTATTGTTACAAGAAACTATTGATAGTTATATAATATTTTAAGTGGTAATATACAATACAGTTTTAATTTTTAACATTTATCACATATACTTGTATAAACCAAATAAAGTATGATAAGTTTAATATATAAATAATAATTTTTATTATAAAAACATAAAATCATTTATTATACAATCATTTTTACTTATACAAAAACAGCTTTATAAGTATTACTAGTATGTTTGTGAATCAAAAATTGTGATAAATAGTTGTTTTAGTATATGGGGAAACCCATTATATTAAAATAGGGATGCTATTAAAGTATTGTACCGGTAGTTTTATATGGTGCTGTTACGTAACCAAATAAGGGTACAAATACTGTATGTCTCGCCCCAACATCGCCAGTAAGCGCTATATTATATTTTGTAGAGAATATTCTGTTCAGAATATATCGCGTGTATTGACAAGTGAGTAGTCCTGACGATCACTCGTGTATTTGTATTTGTGTTTGTGTCGTATGTTTTAAATGAATAAAATGTAGTTTTATACATAAATCGTGTAGTTTCTAGTGTGAACTCCTCCTTAAACTACTATAAACCCCCTTCCTGTTGGGGTCTCCCAAATTGGCCCAACATTTTATTCATTTTACGTACAATCATTAATGTTACAAAATATCTTAATTTTATAATTAACATATCAAATTTACAATTACTATAATAACTAAACTAACGTGAATTTTAAGCCAAAATGATTTTATAGCTTGTTAATTATTAATTATGTACAAAACGAGTTTATTAATCAAATAACAAGCTTAAATTACATATCTTGAGCAAACAACTCAAATAATAATGTCAACATAGATTATGGTATTATTTAAACCTGCCAGGTTCACCAATTTACACCCTTCCCATCCGTACTGGTATTTTGTACTATATTAAAATATTCATTGTAATATTTAAAATATAAATCTAATTACAAATAATGAGTTATGAATCAGTTTTAAGTAATCAAGCGCACTCACCAATAAACAAGTTCGCATAATTTATACAGCCTGTCCATATAGTTTTTTAAATATGATAAAGCCTCTAGTACAGAGGCGCACAGATATGACCGTTTGCGGTCAACTAGCGATGTATGCATTTAATAGTTTTAAACAATATTTATAACACTAGTATTTAATGAATCAGAAATTAGACATTAATATTAATATCAATTTTTCAAATTTTTATTAATTTTATTACTCATATACTCATAGCTAGGTATAACTTGTGATTAAATCATTTGTCAATGTTTTTACTATATTTCCAAACAAAGAGATTAATAAATATTTATACTATTAATTAAAATGAAAATTATGTTTCAAACAAAATATCATAGTCACTTTTCATTCATTAAATACTAGTGTTTGGAATAGTTAATAAGTTTACTAATATTTTAAAACACTAATTTGAGGATTTTAAAAATTTTGGACGTCTCTGCTCTAGTACCTCTTCGTAAACCTTTTTGCGATAATCTTGAAATGCGCTTGATTAAATTATATTTAAATTTATTTTACAAATATACATTATTAAACGATACATTTTACTACTAACTTATGTTACGTTATAATTGTTTACTACTATTATGTTACTGTAAATAAAAATGTAAATATTAAACATAATCATCCACATAATTTATAATAAAATATAAAATATTTATGATTAATTCACAAAATTTAAATGTCCCCGTACTTACCAAGAGGCATACTTCTGTTTGTTTTCGTGTCGGGCGTTGTCGATGATCCAAATGAACCGGCTTTATTAGCTCATACTTATAATGAGCCAATTGTTTCATATGATTGTTCACTTTTCTCCCGTCACTCGTGTAGTCCAACCACGCGATAGGGTTGGCACACCAGTTGGCATATGTGGCCAAATGGGTTACCGTTCCCACCAATAGTATGGCTTTCGATAGGATTTTTAGTGGGTATCGGAGAATGATGTAGAAAAAGCAATATGTCCCCGAGTATATGAATTCACTGAAAAAAGCAAGAGTAATAAAGTAAGTTTATAAATTATTTAACATGCTAGGTTTGCTTTATAATGGTAAGTATACAAGTAGTTTGCATGTTGAAAACGTATTTACAATTTTACTTTAATTACAAAATACAGTATTTTTGCTTGCTAACATGCCTATATTAAACAATAATACTCCACTCACGCACAGCTCATAACATGTCCGCTTAAATCCATGGGAACTCCTGAGTAGGGTTCACCCAATCTGTCTATCATGGCAAACCTATCATCCAGGGCCTGGGCTAGTCCACTCATTTCCCATTTTGAAATCACTTGACTACTGGTGCCAATTATATGTCCAATTTTCTCACCAGCCTTTTTAAATATGCCATCATTGGGTATGCCTAACCATGATAGTTCCTTTCCAAATCCATGCCTGCTTTTAATGGTTCCTTTGGGAACACCAACTTTGGGGACATCATTATCGTGATCATCCGCGTCCCAAACCGGTCGCCCATTGCCAATAGGCCTAATAGTCTGACCGTTGGGTGAGCCAGGAATATCTACGTAGTCAGGACTGGACAGGCAGTCATCTATCCGATCGGTTAATATTAGTATACATGACAGGAATGTCAGTCTTTTAACTCCATAATGATTAAAATATTTATATTACACATACATGGGTAGTACATAAGCACTAAATAAATAGTAATTATTTCGAAAAAACTTAATTAATTTAAAATAGAAAATAGAAAACTCTGTCTAATAATAACTTTATCTAGTTTTACTGAATATCATAAGTCCTGATAATAATTAATAATAATTAATAAATTATCATTTTAAAAATTTTTGGAAAATGTTTAATTGTAACAAAAAATTTATTTAAAAAATACATTTTCATTATAAAAACTGGTCAAACAATTCAAAAAATAGGGAAAGCATGGACTGAGGTAGGGGACGCTCCGGTACGCGATTTGTGGGCGTTATGTCAGTATCGCCACAGGCTTTAGACTCGTACTGGTATTCCATGCTATTGGATAAAGTTATCCGTCAATTACAGTATTATCAAATGTAAAGTAAATAGCTAAATTAATCTTACCAGAAAATCATCTCGCACAGTTTATATAGCCTGTCCATATAAGCCTTAATATAACTCAGCGCCTCCGGGACCTCCGCGTAGATCTTTTTTCTATAGTCTTGAAATGCACTGAAAATGTGTTGGAAAGGGATTACATTACAAAACATTTTCATCAAATACAAAATGATCAATTCAGTTTTTGATAATGCCAAATAGTTTTTAATTTATTGCCATACAGATAACTTATTTCATATTAAATAAATTCTTATAACACATAAACCAAACTGACCAGCATGCATATTTCTGTTTATCTTCGTGTCGGGCTATATCTGTGACCCAAATGATCCTACTTTTGAGTTCATCCTTGTATTGGGACAGTCGTTGGATATGTTCGTTCACTTTAGCGCCATCGGAGGTGAAGCCCATCCACGAGATAGGGTTGGCACACCAGTTGGCATATGTGGCCAAATGGGTGATCGTTCCCCTGGATAGGATAGCCTTTGACAAGATCTTCAGTGGGTATCGGATGATGAGGTAAAAGAAACAATACGACCCGGAGTATATGAATTGACTGATACATGATTCGCGAGTGTTATTCATATACTGTTAATTTAAATTCACTTTATATTTCTTAACATAAATTTATGTAACATAATTTATATAGGCTACTTACAGTATAATAAAATTCAAATTGCTTGTGAATTCAATTTTATTTATACGGGTATATATATTTTTAAAAATAACTTTATTCAGATGCCATAAATTTTATCACATAAAAAAATAAATTGCTTGGACATACTCAATTATTAAAAGGTACATTTCAACTCTGCTATCATGTGAGTGTACTTTTTTGGAGTTTATACAGTCATATGAGAGCAGAGTTGAAGTATACCTTTTGATAACTGGGTAAATACTAAACAGGTTACACATACTGTATATAAATATGAGGAACGTATGCAAAAACATATATCACCTTTCAGGTACGGGTACTTACGCACAAGCCTTCACGTGACCGGTCATATCCATGGGCACACCCGAGCGCCGGTTACCCATGAGGTCCAACTGGGAGAACCTATCATCCAATGCACGGGTCAACCCACTCAATGTTCCCTTTTTGATCTTTTGACTCCCGGTGCCCAGAATGTGGCCAGCCCTGTCGTACACCCGGCTTACGGTGCCAACAAGGAGATGGATATCTTTTTTAATCCCTTTCCAAATCCATACTTGTCTTTAAGGGTTCGTTTTGTTATGTTTACATCTATGGGATCCTCAATAATGGTCGGATACGAGTCTTTAACAGGTCGACTACTACCGGCCCCATTGAGTCCAATGGGTAGATCCACGTAGTCGGGACTGGACAGGCATTTGAGTAACTGATCACTACATATTAGGATTAGAGCCATGAATGGCAACCATGTAACTCCCATTACGATAATTATTTGTTTTGTTTTTAAAATTATTAATTACAGACATATGGAGTGTATGTATACAAAAACATAGGTAATACACAATGTTATTAAAAATTTTAATTATGCTTATAAGCTACATTTATTATAAGGTAGTTCACGTGAAAATTATTCTGGCCAAACTTTAATAGGTTTTTTATTATAATACTTAGCCAAAATCGGTAAAAAGTATTTTAAACGTCTATTTAATGCAGTTCTTATCCAATTAGTTAAAATTTATAAAAAATTTAAAGTCATTTATATTAGTCAAAAATTTTAAAATTATTCCAGTTAATAACAGAATAGCAGAGGTTTGAATATTCTGGATTTTGACCATAATTGCACAAAAATATTAAATTTAAATACTTTGTCATTCCTTTATTAATTGGAATAATTTTTAAAAATTTTCATATATATTATTTGCACCATAGGTTGCATATATTGAGACACTAATATTCAATCATTTCCAAAATTTTGGTCATTAGTATGGGAAATCCTGTCACATTTTATGTCACCCTGGCTCTATAAGCAATTAGATTTTTATGAACAATAGCTTAAATGAAAGTTTATTTATTGCTCTTCAAGATGTGTTTAACTATTTTGACCTATGACCTTTGGTCTGACCTGTGCATATGACCTTTGCGTTTGTCCCGTGATTTAAATGACTTTAAATTTTTTATAAATTTTAACTAATTGGATAAGAACTGCATTAAATAGACGTTTAAAATACTTTTTACCGATTTTGGCTAAGTATTATAATAAAAAACCTATTAAAGTTTGGCCAGAATAATTTTCACGTGAATTACCTTATAAATAAAAATTTAGTTTAAAGTATGATATTTTTATTGCTATAGCTAATTAATAGTAAAATTATAAAAACAATAAAAATAATATAATTTTAAAAATTTCTAATCTATTTAAATTAGAAAAACCGGTCGAATAACTCGCTGGATATAAACCGATTGAGCAACCTGGTAATACTAACCCCCTTAGAAGCCACCCCTATAACTATACCTCCCACCGCAATTGGACCTGTCACAAATATGGTACCAATGGACACACCGGTGCCCACTACAAGAATACCCGCATCCGTACAATTCTCAATTAGCCTGGCTTTTTGATACCTTGCTTGCAAAATTTCATTGGTCAATTTATGCAATATCATATCGCAATTTTCGTAATCTATCTCGCTGGAAATACCCTGAATATATTCCTCGTAGACATTATCATATATTTGCTTATCACAAACTAATAGTTCACTGCTGTATCTGTAAAACTTATACCACTTTTTCTTAATAAGCTGGCTAAGACGCTGATCATATACCAGGGTATATTTCTGTAGTTGCGCCACCCAGTACTTTATATGCTCATAAAATTGTCTAGCATCCTGGACATATTTTACATTTATATCAATGCCGTTATATTCAATATTGAGCTTGGTAGTTTGTTTACTCATTTCGTCAATAAATGCTTTTCGATACTTATTTGACAAGGTTATATTAAAAGCATTTAATTCATCAGGGAATTCAATAGCCAAGGGCTTATCGTAATTAACCACATAGGTAACTAGATCATCCTGATACTCTTTCTTGAATTTAAAATAAACATCAACACCCTTGATGAATTCATTGAACTTATTGCTAATTGTAAAACTCATAGTATCCAGGAAATCTGCAAAATATTTTCTTATCATACATGATGCTTGATCAAGTTTGATCAATGACCACGCTAATATATCAGCGAAGTGGATTTTCAACTCGCTAGTTTCCATACGATTTGCCATAAATTCTTGAATATGTGGTTCCATATTGATGTTGATGAGCTTGGTAAACTCAATGACTGCATTTGCTATCAATTTTGTTTCCGATAACAAAATATTTCGAAATTTAAGCCCAAAATTATTATTAAGTTTGGGATCAAATTTTTCAATAATTATTGCAGCAAGCTCATTAAATTTCGCCACATATTCCGATTCACTAGTGCTAATGATATCGAACTTGTAATTATCCTCGATAACATTAACAACATTATCAAGGTACTTTTTATAGTTATTGTAGAACATCTCAATTAGACTTATGAACTCGCTGAATTTATGCATAAGCATTTGGGTCAATACAATTTCGTAATTTTCACCATTAGGTCCAAGCCATTTTGAAAATGAATTATCATTAAATATTAATTTACATTGCTTCATTTCTTTAGCATTATCATCATTCAAATCTTTGACCACAATTATGTCATTGATCAATTCAATTCTCAATTCAAAGTTTTCCAGTTTTGCAGCATATTTGCCAAGGAACTTTTCGTACCTTGTCAATAACTTAGCAATACACATTTCATTTTTCTCCTTGCTTAACAATGTAATTGTGTTTGGTAAACGTTGCAGTTTATTAGGGTCGTTTATCATCTCAGATATATTACACAAATAATTGCTATATTCTCGACCGGTTATTAAATGCTTTTGATTATTATTAATCCATTTATACGACAAGTCTTTACAAATTGCATCTCGAAACTCCAAACAATGATCAATGTACATTTTCATTTTATTATATGAATAGGAATCACCAATCTCGTAAAAATCATAAAATGTTTCCGGTATTAAAAAGCAATCGATCGACTTAAACATCGACGTAAACTCGTTCAAATCAAGTTGAGCATGATCCTTTAACGAGTTCATAAATACCCCGGCTGTGTCGAAACCAAAATTGAACTTGTTCCTTTGTCGAACATTTGTGATGTAAAAGTACAGGTTTTGAAAACTGCTCGTGAACATTTCGTGCAAGGTTGCGTACACTTTGAGCACGTTGAAATTGTTTTCCTTGAAATCTTGTTGAGCCAGGTACACAAAGTGGGACGACATGATGGCCGATAAGACAAATAATTGTTGAAAGCTGAATTTATTTGAATTGCTACTCTTAATACCCTCCACGTCCACAATAAACAGATTGCATAACAATTTATAATCTGGTTTAGTCTGGATTATCTTTATCGGATTTACAGTTGTCCAGATACCATTAGTACATGACTTATGTAGTTCATCAGATGTGTCAAATACGCAATCAATATAATCAAGTTCCTTTCTTAAACATAATAGTTGGCCCTCTATCATGTTACCAAATTCGCTATCCATATCCTCATGACGTAATTCAACTTGTTCATTATTGTAATTGAGTATATTGCACAGGGTCGATTTACCAATACGTGGTTCACCACAAACAACTAGTATTTTTAAGGGATTATCCGCCACCTCCCTATTCTCCTTGAATATTCTTTCAATGTTTTGTTTGTTAATTACTAGTTGATCTTGATCATTAACCGAAAATAGTTGAATCGACATTTTCGATGCTAAATGTTTGAGTAAATTTTAAAAATTATTTTTAGTAATTTCCTAAAAACAAAATAATAGTGTATTAAATAAAATATTTCCTGATACTGCATTATGAGTAATAATTTATTACACATTCAAAAAATATTTTCATATCATTTATGATTAATGATAAACAACAGACCATTTAAACAAATGTAGAAAAATTATTTTTACTGTATACCAAAAATATTTGTATTCATACTCTATTATTAAATATTACTTACTATGTCGCTGTCATCAAAAATACAGTATATTGAACAAATTCACAATTATTTTCAATAATTTATTTATTTATTTATTATTAGCCACAATTAAACTCCAAATAATTCATGTGAATTAAAAATATTTTAATTCTACAGTAATTTATTTGTACACACTTTTGTAAAACACTTATTTTATAACATATAGAATATTACTATATTTTTTAAGTGAAATAAAATGGATCTTTATTAATCAAATAAATTCGCCACCCTTATACCACAAAAGTATCATAAAGGAAGCTCTCTATTACAAATTAATAAAAACAATAATTACTATATTAAAAATTAAAATTATAATATATTAAGAATTTACTTTACAAAAAGTAATAAAATATGAAAGCAAATCAGATGACATAAAAGCACTGAAAGGTGGGGGCCAATCGAGGTTCGCATTTATAACGGCCACCCGTAAGTATATTATTATAAGTTTATTACTATATTACTACTATTGTTAAGGTCAAGGTAATGCAAACATTGTAATCAAACAAAAAAGGTGATTATTGCTATTAGAGACTATTGATAGTTATAAAATATTTTAAATGGTAATTTACAAAACACTTTTAATTTTTAGCATTTATCATATATACTGGTATAAACCAAATAAAGTATGATATGTTTAATATATAAATAATCATTTTTATATAAAAACATAAAATCATTTATTATACAATCATTTTTACTTATATAAAAACAGCTTTATAAGTATTACTAGTATGAATCACAATTGTGATAAATAGTTGTTTGAGTATATGGGGAAATCCATTATATTAAAATAGGGATGCTATTAAAGTATTGTTACAATAGTTTTATAGGTGCTGTTACGTAACCAAATAAGGGCACAAATATTGTATGTCTCGCCCCAACATCACTAATAAGCGCTATATTGTATTTTGTAGAGAATATTCTGTTCAGAATATATGGTGTGGACTGACAAGTAAGTAGTCCTGACGATCACGAGTGTATTTGTCTTTGTGTTGTATTAAATGAATAAAATGTAGTTTTATATATAAATCATGTAGTTTCTAGTGTGAACCCCTCCTTAAACTACTCTAAACCCCCTTCCTGTTAGAGTCTCCCAAATTAGCTCAACATTTTATTTACTGGTAATTTTATTGTTTATATTAATTTTTAACAAAATAATATAAATAAAACTTATGTAATCGATAATATGATATTAATATCATTCAAATTACAAACCATTGACACAATAATTGCAAGCGTACAATAATTAATGTTACAAAATATGTGAATTTTATAATTAACATATCATATTAACAATTAATATAATAACGAAACTAACATTAATTTTAAGACAAAATGCTTAATTTTATAGCTAGTTAATTATTAAATATGTACAAAACGAGTTTATTAATCAAATAACAAGCTAAAATTACAGATATTAAGCAAACAACTCAAATAATAGTGTCAACATAGATTGTGGTATTACTCTCTGAGACTCCCCATTTAAACCCGCCAGGTTCACCATTTTACACCCTTCCCATCCGTACTGGTATTTTGTACTATATTTAAATAGGCATTGTAATATGTAAAAATATAAATCCAATTACAAATAATTAGCTACGAATGAGTTTTAAGTAATCAAGCGCACTCACCAATAAACAAGTTCGCATAATTTATACAGCCTGTCCATATAGTTTTTTAAATATGATAAAGCCTCTCGTACCTCTTCGTAAACCTTTTTGCGATAATCTTGAAATGCGCTTGATTAAATTATATTTTAATTTATTTTACAAATATATTATACATTATTAAACGATACATTTTACTACTAACTTATGTTACGTTATAATTGTTTACTACTATTATGTTACTATAAATAAAAATGTAAATATTAAACGTAATTATCCACATAATTTATAATAAAATATAAAATATTTATGATTAATTCACAAAATTTAAATGTCCCCGTACTTACCAAGAGGCATACTTCTGTTTGTTTTCGTGTCGGGCGTTGTCGATGATCCAAATGAACCGGCTTTATTAGCTCATACTTATAATGAGCCAATTGTTTCATATGATTGTTCACTTTTCTCCGGTCACTCGTATAGTCCAACCACGCGATAGGGTTGGCACACCAGTTGGCATATGTGGCCAAATGGGTTACCGTTCCCACCAATAGTATGGCTTTCGATAGGATTTTCAGTGGGTATCGGAGAATGATGTAGAAAAAGCAATATGTCCCCGAGTAATGACTCCTATCTAAACATCAGTTTGGATTCACACCTCAGACATCAACAGAAGACGCGTTGCATTCAATCGTCTCATTCGTTAAGGAAGCGCACCGTAGGATAGGATTTGCAGTAATCATATCACTGGACATGAGGGGAGCGTTCAACTATTGCTGGTAGCCTAAGATCTTGTCTCAATTCAGGGCTAAGATGTGTCCAAAAAAACTATATTTTATGTCAAAGTCTTACTTCAGTTAAAGGGAAGCAGAGAAGTCTATTCAAAACATTGATTGATAGTGCGATCCAATCAAACCAACAAATAGAGCACTCAGTGGTCACCAAATCATTCATCAAATCAGCGGTATATCAGAAGAATGTCGAGGACTGGAACACCCGATGGACACTAACAGACAAAGCATCGCAAACCAAACCATACTTCCCGACTATCAATAACAGGATTAAAGTGAAGAAGTATTTCATTCCCGACTTTTACGTAACTCAAGGCCTCACAGGACATGGAAATATGAACTCATATTTAAAACGTTTTAATATTAAAGACGACGATTCCTGCGCTCAATGTCCGGATGTCGCACTCTGTTGACCGCCGAACCTTCGAGTGCCCGAAGTTCGCAGAAGAGAGACAACTATTCATAGATATGTGTGAAACTGATGGTCACGATTGGCCACCAAATCATTCTGTTCTCATCGGATATCAAATGTTTCAACATTTCAAACAATTTTGTAAAATTCTATTTAAGAAATAATTTACAACTAATTGTTTTTTTAAAAAATTTAATCTCAAATATTTTGCTAATTATGTAATTATTTAATGTTTAAGTGTTTGCCCTTAAGAAGCCATGCGCGCGGTTTAAGGGCTCATAAAAGTAATTAATAAATCGAAACTTTCAATCAAATCAGCTACCCGTACCACCTACCCGTGCCTACCCGACTCTACCCAATAAATGTCCGTGGTCAACATGGTCTACACCTATTGTTCATTATTGTAAATGTTATTTGAATGTGTTTTATATGTAATGAATTTATGAATAAATGTATAATTTTCAATCAATTATATAATCAATCAATTCAATAATTCACCACTTGATTGAAACATCGTTTTCGCAGCAAATAGTACCGAAACGCTGGAAGATATCTACTATTAAACCACTTTTTAAAGAAGGTTTGAAATCCGATTTAAATAATTATAGACCGGTATCTATAACTCCAGTGGTATCTAAAGTCATGGAAAGACTTGTGTTTAACTCTCTTTACAATTACATCGAAGAACACCATTTGTTAAATGACTGTCAGTTCGGGTTTCGGAGTCATCACTCATGTGCTGATGCATTGGTTTCTATACTAAATAGTTTGTACTCAGGAGTCAATAATGGTATGAAAGTCTGCTTAATAAGCCTGGACATCAAGAAAGCCTTCGATACCCTATCACATCCTATACTACTCTATAAACTATATAAAATTGGTGCTGATTTTAAATCACTCAAATGTTTTGAATCATTTCTGACTTCGCGGACACAATGTGTCAAAGAAAACAGAAGAGTCTCTGATATGAGGGACATATGTGTTGGTCAACCGCAAGGATCACTACTTTCTCCGCTCTTATTTGCTATATTTTTGGACGATTTGTTTAAAGTGGTCATAAATGGCGAAATGTTTTGCTATGCAGATGACACTAACATCATATTCACTGTCAAATCATATTCAGAGCTCGAGGTAAAAGTTAACGACTCATTAGAAATCATTAATAAGTGGATGTCTGAGAATCGCCTCCAATTGAATGCAACTAAGACTAAATATATGACTATTTCCCTCAATGGACGCCAAACTCCAGATCTTAATCTAAGGGTTGGTGGCAAACATATTGACAAAGTCATGGAACTTAAGTTATTAGGCGTTGTTTTCGACCAAAAACTGTCATTTCAGTCCCATATTAATCAAATCTGCGTTAAAGTCCGTCAAAGAATTGGTGTGATTTCGAGACTGAAATCGTTTTTAAATACAAATATATTGAACACTATTTATAAATCATTGGTTCAACCGATTCTAGACTACTGTGTCTACGTTTACGGCTATACCTATGGTTCACATATACAACGGATTGAAAGACTACAAAGAAGAGTAGCCCATGTATTGATGTCATCACCAGAGGATGCCTTGACTTTATTTGTAAGACTCGGTTGGAAGTCATTCACCACTCGTCGGTACTATTTCTGCAGAATTTTTATCTTCAAATGTCTTAATAAATTAAATGCGAAAAAATGTCATAATTTTTTCAAATTTAAAGACTCAGAAATCAAGACTCGGTCTGTGGTTCAGAAGGATCTGGAACTTCCGAAGTCCAAGAAAAAGCTTCAATGTTTTTTAAACTCAATTTTTTACTCAGGAATAAAAGTTTTTAATTCACTAGATTTTAAATTAAAAACTTGTAACAATTATAACTCTTTTGTTTCAAATGTCAAAAAACTTTAATTTTTAATTCTTTTTAATTTTAAAATATTGTAATTTATATAATTAGTAGACCCCCTCACTGAAAATCAGCTGCGGTTGAGTGAACAGGGTCTTTAAACATTAATAAATTCAAATTCAAATTCAAGTCTATATATCATATATTTCTCTAAAAAGTGGTCCACAAGAGTTTATATTTAGTCCGATATTCTCGACTTCATTCACTTTATGGACTTCACTCACGACCTGTAGTTCTCTCAGGGAATTCATAAATCGTTGTAATTTTGTTTGCGATTCAGAATCGGATTTATGTTTTAATAGCAGATATCGTTGTAATAAATATATATACAATTGCTGTTCCAGTCTATCAAACAAAAATAATTTATTAGCTATAATTAATTGATATTAAATTTCTATATTACCAAATCTATAATAGCAGGGTCTTTGTCCCATTCGGAGTTGATATTTGTAAATAGGATTTTAAGTCTCTTATAAGTGCTCATAATATTTAATAAATCCATTTTAAGATAAATATATTTATTATTGGGCTATAAATAATACAAATATTATTAGTGGTATTTAATCTATGCTAGTACCTAGGTTAATCATTAAATAGATACCATTTTAACTGACCAGTAGTTGTTATCAAAATTAAAGTACAATATCGACCTCAAGAGTCGTAAGTCATTTGATCCATAGTTGAC